CCACAATCACAAACACAGACACACACACCACACACACAGAGAGAGAGAGAGAGAGAGAGAGAGAGAGAGAGAGAGAGAGAGAGAATTAAAAACAACAAAACCAGCACACGCCTTTAATTCTAGCACTTGGAGGTAAAGGAGGGCGGATCTCTATGAGTTCGAGGCCAGTCTGGTCTCCATAGTGAATCCAGGACAGCTGGGGCTACAGGGAGACCCTGTCTCGAAAAGACCAAAAAAAAAAAAAAAAACCAAAAACAAAAAAACCCAACAAAACCCCCCCCACTCATACCTGGGCCAAAGAACCAGAGAAAAATGCTGTATTTCCCTGTTCCCACCAGGGACTTGAGGGGTCTCCTATTTATACTAAGTTCTGGCTTTATCTGCTGCAGCTGTTGTGGGTGTGTGCTGATGGAACCATGCCTCAGGCAGGGGGTCTAAGAAACTGAGGAAAGACAAGAGTTACTGGAGTCACCAGGAAGATTTTAGAGCACTGGGCCCCAGTCTTTGTATCTTTAGCAGTGTTTTAAAAAAAATACTTTATTTTATTTTTTTATGTGTATGAGTGTACTGCCTGCATATGTATAAGTGTGCCCGTGTCTTGCGATGCCTGAAGAAGTCAGATCCTCTGTAACTGGAGTTACAGATGATTGTTAGCTGCCGTGTTGGTGCTGGGAACGGAATCAGGTCCTCTGCAAGAGCAGTCAGTGGTCTTAGCCGATGAGCCATCTCTCTAGCACCATCAACTGCAGTTTTAAGGCAGTATTGTGCAATAGTGTTACTAATTTTATTTTTTAATTATTTTTATTTTATGTATATGAGTGTATTGTCTGCATGCATTTAAATCCACCTGTGTCATGCAATGGCCTCAGAGGTCAGAAGAGAGGGCGTCAGATCCCCTGGAACTGGAATTACAGACAGTTGTTAGCTGCCATGTTGGTGCTGGGAACCAACCCTGGGTCCTCTGTAAGAGCAGTCAGTGCTCTTAACTGCTGACCCATCTCTCCAGCCCCCTGATTTTATTTTTTAATCAGACTGCCATGTGTCTAAATTGGGTTCAATCATCATGTAAGTTTGACAAGTTGCTTTATCTCTATTGCTTTCTCACCTGCAAAATAGGAATAACAATATTACTGATCTCATAGGCTTCTGTGTGAATTCCATGTTAATCTGTGTAAACTATTAGCAAGGTAGCCTTGGGCAGCTCTCCAACCATGATTGTTAATTACTATTATGTGTCTAGGACTCCCTTTCCTTGCCTCTGAGATGAAAGATCAACAACTAGGTCATTGTTAACTTCCTTCATGGATGGGTAGAAACCTGTGGGTTGGTTTTTTTTTTTTTTTTTTCTTTTTTGAGGCAGGGTCTCACTATATAGCCCTGGCTGGCCTGGAACTATGTAGACCAGGCTCGTCTCAAACTCAGAGATCCATCTGCCTCTGCCTCTGGAATGCTGGGAGTATTAAAGTGCGGGCTACTTTTTAAAAGATTTATTTTTATTTGTGTCTGTGTGAGCATATAAAACTTGTCTTTGTGTGGCCTATGGAGGCCAGAAGTGTCCGATTACCTGGAACTTGAGTTATAGGTGGTTGTGGACCATCATAAGTAGATGCTCTTAACTGCTGAGCCATCTCTCTAGCTCCAGGGACCTGTGTTTTGCTTGACTGCTATGCCTTCAAGACCAAACACATCTCCTACTCATGTCTTGCTAGACCCTTAAGAATTATGTTTCTCAGGCCAAGTGTGGTGGTGTACACCTTTAATCGTAGCACTCAGGAAGCAGAGGCAGACTTTGATCTTTGTGAGATCTAGGCCAGCTTGGTCTACATAGTGAGTTTCAGGCCAGATGGGACTATAGGGAGATCCTGTCTCAAAAAGACAAAAACAACAACAACAACAACAACAAAACAACAACAACAAAACGTTTATCTTACTCATTTTATTACTTTTTTAATTTAAAAATATTTCAAGGGGCTGGGGATCTAGCTCATTTGGTAGATTGATTATCTAGCACCGAATCCCAGAACCCACATGTCAGCTAACAGTTGTCCCTAACTCCAGTCTCAGGGGATCAGATAGTATCTTCTGACCTGCGCCTGCATTGGACGACACGGGTGCACTTATCTACGTGCAGGCAATACACGCATACACTAAAAATAATAAAACTAAAAAACAAAAAAACCAACAAAGTGAGTTCGAGGCCAGCCTGGACTACATGAGACCCTGTCCCCCTAACCTCCCAAAATCAAACCAAACCAAATGAAACCAAGCAACATCAACACGAGTTATTTCCTGGCGGCTGCTCTCAGTGGAAGAAGTTCCCAGGGTGCTATGCAGGTCTGTTGGTGGGAGGGCAACAGGTTTTTAGGATGGAACCACAGGGCTCCGGGTTTGAATCCCACTTCCAGTTACTTGTTGAGTGGCCCCGAGCAAGTCGCCTCAGGTCCCTGAGCCTCAGTTTCCCCGTCTGTCCTCTTTCCTTTTCCTGGGCGCTAGCTGCCTGTTTGCGTCTCTACCCTCCCAGTTGCAAGCCGGCTGAAGAAAATCACTCAAACACCCGGGTTCATCTGGCACCCCGGAAAGCGCGTTCAGTTGGGATCATGTGAGGACGCAGCCGAGGTGCTGCGGGGCCCGGCGGCCTCGGGGCCTGGCAGGCGAGCGGACCCCGGCCTCTCCCAGGCGGGGTCCCCGGGCCAGCCGGGCAGGGTGGGCGCGTCCGATCAGGCCCTGGCGAGCGGCCCGCTGACCCCGGGAACAAGGCGGTGGCCCGCGGCCGC